CTGAGCCGTTGTTCCCTTTGGGGCCAGCGTCGTCTGGGCGGCGCAGTGTTCGCCCTGTTCGACGGTTGGGTTCTCGTGCGGGGCGTCGGCCCTTTCGCAGTTTGCCCCGTTGACGGGGCGATGGGGGGGAGGCTCGCTCTGTTTGCCCACGCTTGGTCCCACGATTTGTGGGCCTTTTCGGTCGTGTCATTCGGCCTGCGGTGGCGTTGGGCGACTCGTCCTCCTTTGGGGGGTTCGGGGCTAACAGGGCAGGTCTCTTCTCCTGCGCTTCGTCAAGTCATCTTGGAGTGGGTGCGCTTGGGCGTGGTCGAACCGACTACGTCCCTCAGGTGGGTTTCCCGCCTGTTTCCAGTGCCGAAACGGGACTGTGCGGATCTGAGGTTCATTCTGGACTTGTCCCGTCTGAACCCCTGGATTCCTTGCCCCTCCTTTCGGATGACTACTCTGTCTCAGGTCCGGCTTCTGTTGGAGCCGGGTGCCTGGATGGTGTCCCTGGACCTAAAGGACGTGTATTGGCACGTTCCTATTCATCCGGGGTTCAGGGACTGGTTAGGCTCCGTGGTAGGGCGTCACGCTTACCGTTTTCGATGCCTACCTTTTGGCCTGAATCTGGCACCTCGCGTTTTCACGCGTCTGACCCGAGTTGTGGTGACCCGTCTGCGTCTTCTAGGGATTCGGGTTTTGGCCTACCTCGACGACTGGCTGGTGTGGGCTCCCAGTCGGTCAGCTTGTCTGCTCGCCAGGGATTTGGTTCTTTCCCAGCTCGCCAGGTTCGGGTTCCTGGTGAACTGGAGGAAGTCCCATCTGGTTCCGTCCCAGGTTCGGACCTGGCTGGGTCTTGTTTGGGATTCTCGGACCGCTTCCTTGTCTCTACCTCCGGTGGCGTTGCGGCGGCTGCGGGACCGCCGTTTGCTGTTTCTGAGAGGGTCCCGGGTCACTCGGCGGTTGCTCGAGCGGTTGTGCGGGAGTCTGAACTTCGCCATGCTAGTCTACCCGCCGGGTCGGGTTTGGCTTCGGCGTCTGTTTTGGTTCCTTTGGGGACGTCCTTTCCGCCTCTCTCGCGATCGTTGGGTTCGCCCTCCGGGGGTCTTATGTCGGTTGATGCGTCACCGTCTTCCTCTTCGGATTTTTCGGGGTTCGGTGCCTTGGCGCCTTCCCGAGCCCTCGCTCGATGTGTTCACGGACGCGTCGTCTCTCGGCTGGGGCTTTGTGACCAGTGCTCACCAGGCAGGCCAGGGACGGTGGGGTCCGTCCTTCCATCGGGCTCACAGCACGGTTCGGGAGTTCGCGGCTGTCTGGTTCGCGCTTCGGAGGGTTCGGGTCGCTCGGGGATCGACCATTCGCCTCCATTCGGACTGTTCTCCGGTGGTTCATTGCCTGAACCGCGGGGGTTCTCTTCGGTCCTTGGCTCTTTGGGGTTGGTCCCTTCGAGTGGTTCGTCTGCTGGATTCTCGGGGTTTGGCTCTCCGTGCGGTTCACGTCCGGGGAGTGTCCAACGTTCTGGCGGACGGTCTGTCTCGCTTCCTTCCCCTGTCCACGGAATGGACGGTCGACGACAACTCGTTTCGTTGGATCTGCCAGACGTACGGTCTCCCAGATGTGGACCTCTTCGCGTCGGCGTGGTCCCGGCGTCTCCCTCTATATGTGACGCCCTTCCCCGACTGCGAGGCGTTCGCGGTGGATGCTTTTCGGCAGGACTGGTCGAGGTGGGGTTACCTGTACCTTTTTCCTCCGGTCCAGCTGTTGCTTCGGGTTCTGGTTCGGTTAGAGACATTCCCGGGAGAGTAGTCCTCGTGGCCCCTTGGTGGCCGGCCCAGCCTTGGTTTCCGGTGCTTCTGGCTCGGTGCCCGAACCCGGGACGTTTCCCGCGGCTCCGCCTCTTTCAGCAGGTCGGCCCGATCCGGTACGGGGCTGGTTCGACCTTCTCCTCTGCTCTTCGCGTCTGGTCTTTTTGACGCGGGTGTATCACCATTTCTATGGTGATCAGGTGGCTTCTTTGATGGTGTCCCACCTGAGAGCTTCGTCTAGGCGACAGTATGAAGTTTCCTGGCGTTCCTTTCGCCATTTTCTGGCTCTTCGTAGGTTGTCTTTTCTCTCGGATCGGGTTGTTTTGTCCTTCCTTACTTGGCTTTTTCAGGACCGTCATTTGATGCCTAATACTGTCGCCTCGTATCGTGCGGCGCTGGCAGAGCCGCTCCAGCTCGCTTTCGGGGTGGACGTCACATCCGCCCCGTTTTGTAAGCTTTCCCGTGCTATGTTTCACCTTTGGCCTGCTCATGCGCCGCCTGAGCTGTCATGGTCCTTGGACAGGGTGCTCTCCTATCTTTCCTCTCCTCGGTTTGTGGTGGCCCCTTTGGTTCAAGATTGTTTTTCCAAGTCCTTGTTTTTGTTGGCATTGGCCTCTGGGGGTCGGGTAGGGGAGCTTCATGCTCTCCTCCGGCGCAGGGGTTACTGCTCTTTTGGTCCTGGGGGTAGGTTTGTCCGTTTGCAGCCTTCTCCATCCTTTCTGGCAAAGAACGAGACGGCTGCTTTCTGGAGGGGTCCGTGGGTCATTGATGCTTGGTTGGTTCGGCCGGGGGTGCATCATGTGTTGTGTCCTGTTGCTGCACTTCGCCGTTACCTGCGCGCTTCGGCCGGAGTGGCTGGAGATGCGCTTTGGGTTGATCCGGTTTCCCTCGTTCCCGTGTTCCAGGGCTCGGGTCTCCTAGGTTGTCCGCAGGGTTATTAAATCTAGCCAGCCTGCGGTCTATCCTCGCGCCCATGACGTTCGGAAGTTTGCAGCTTTGGCTGCCGTGTTTGGTAACATGTCTTGTGCTCATATTCGGGCCCGTGGATTTTGGAAGTCGAACAGGGTCCTGGCCGCCCATTATTTGGTGAACGTTCCTGCTCCTCACCGTTCTTCTGTTGCTTTGGGTTGCAGGTTGCAGCTAGTTGTCTCGACTTCGCGTTGAGAAGTTTGTGGTCACCGCCTCCTGGGTAAGTCCCTATTTTCCTTCTCTGGGTATGTAGCTCCAGGCAGCCGTAGGGGCTCCCCACAGAAAACCAGTGTTGAATGTAATGAAACACCATTTTCTGGGTGAGCCCCGGAGGCTCCCTGGCTACCCTCCCTCCCATCCGGTTGGCGGGGGTTTTTCGCGTTGGTTGAAGCCTAGTTTCCGAACTGACGGCAGCCGGCGCGGTGAGGTCCGGGGCCCCCCCCCTCCCCCTCCCGGGGAGGGGAGGGCTGCGCGGACGACCGGCGCGGCAGTAAATTGATTGTTTGATTGTTTTCCTTGGGATTGTAGGGAGTTTTCTACCTCTCTGTTCGGTTTTTGTTGTAGTTTTTTACCATGTGGGGTTTGTTTTGTTACGCCTACCTTTCTGGGTGCCTAACCCCGGTCGATGGCAGATAAGGAAAACCCCCACCCATATGGGGTTTTCCAGGGCCATTGCTCCCTGAAACCTCTCTGAAGGGGCCAGGTTCTGGCGCTGGTCCCTGGTAGGTCTGAACTCCATAGCTAATGTCCCGGTCTAACATAACACACATTAGCCCGATAAGCTCCAGGGAGCCTCCGGGACTCGCCCAAAAATGGTGTTTCATTACATTCAAAGCTGTTTTTTTTTTTTTTTTTTTACTTCCTATTTGTGTGAAAAGATTTTTTCAGCCATGTCAGGAATAAAAATTAAACAGAGAAATTGAATGGATGTTAATGCAGCGCTTTATCTCCCAGAAACAATGCTGCAGCCACATATATAACAAAAATTTAACAAAGAAGTAGCAGCAGATGGTGCATTAACTAAAATGTCTAATTTTATAACATTAAATTTAATAAATAAAATACTATTTACATAATATTTTATTAAAACCAGCCTACATTGGTTTTTATTAATGTCTTAGCTGTCAGCCGGTCCACGAAATATTTATCCTATTTTCGCCGGTTCACAGGTGTAAAAAGGTTGAAGAATGATGATTTAGAGGGCCTTGTCAACCATTTCTTGGGGGAGCCCCGGAGGTTCCCTCAAGCTATCATACACTGATCAGTGCCATACTACTGATGAAGGAAGGAGGCAGTGCTATACTATATAGTGGAAGGGGGCAAACTAGCGGGTGCTAGTTTTACAAAATTTTGGTGGTTTGTTTTCATTCTGGGAGTTCTTTTGACAATTTTGAGGCTCCAGTCTCGTTTTTAAACTATGCAGTAGTTTGTTTTGATTTACCTATCTTTCTGGCTGCTTCCCTGGTGGTGGCAATTATGATTAAGCTTTAAATGAAAAGTTTTTTTTTTTTTTTTTTTTTTGAGATATATACAAGAGTTGTTACATTCTTGTACAGCCACTAGTACGCGTAGCGTTTCGGGCAAGACTAAGCTGAAAAGCAAATTTTCATAGGCCATCACTCCCTGTGCCTCTCTGAGGGGGCCCAGGTTCTGGCTCGTGGTCCATGGTAAGTCAATAGAACTCTGCCACTGATTTCACCTAGTAGTATGGCACTGATCATTGGCACTAAAAATATATATTAACTGTACCATTCAGTATTGTAATCGATTTTCATTTATATAAATAGGAAAATATTTCCATGACAAACGGATAGAGTATAAGGAATCAACTCGGTGATAAATGAGGTATGTATTGTGGTCATGTGTTGTCTGCAGGGTTATTTATGTGCATAAATGGTGGATGATGCAGGAAAGAGGCTGTGGTTATTTAATGGTTTAAGGAGTGTGGCGTACATGGGAAAATTACCAGGGGAATATCTGTCTTCCTTTTATCACCCTGATGACTGTAACCACTTTTGATATAGTAGAATATTTTTTTTTCCCTCGCAATTTTAAAACTGGTTAATTTTTATAAGATATATTGTAAACTGTTTTTATATTGCTACAAACAATTTACTAAAAAAGTAATTACTTGTATTTGGTTCCCATTGTAGAAAAGCAGATGATTTTATATTCTTTTATACTGTGTTTTTTAGTTTTTATGCTTGTACTTTGCATATATTTATTCAATGATTTGTATTGCAGGATGCTGCATGGATTGCTCTGAATAATTCTCTAAGATGTTGCACCCCCGGGGATGTTTACCTTCTCCTGAAAAGCAGCAACTTCGTCACTCATGACTTAACCTCCCCGTTCAAGGTTTGAGACTTGATCATTTGCTTGACCTTGCTCCCTCTCGTACTTGCCCCTCCCACACTCGCCCACAGAATCCCCCCAAACTGTTCTGTATTATCACTGGTGGGTTGAGTTACTGTCAGCATCTTCTCTGCTACAGTGTTCTCAGCAGCTTGGATAGAGGCCACATATTTGCTGTTGCTCTAGCTATACTCTTAATTGATCATAGTGGATAAATGTACAGTTATAGTTACAGTGAAGAGTTGGGAGCTTCCTGTAATAGAGCAAGGAAACATTCCTAAGATGAAGAGGATAGAATTAAACCAAGCAGCACTGAAGGACTCTGAGGTAACCTAAGAAGAAATAAGGTGGTTCCTGTTGGAGCTGGGTATGACTAAGGCCGTGGGACCAGGTAAGGTATGTCTGTGGATACTAAAAGAAATTGCAGAAGCCTTGTACTGGGCACTTATTTTTATATATAACTATTCAGTGGAAACAAAAGAACTACCAAAGAGTTGAAAGACAGCCAATGTAGTGTCAGTATACATAGAAGGAGGCTTTAAACTAATAGCCAGTGTCCCTTACTTGCATATCATGCTAGATGATGGAAAAAAGACCATACATGAGAGGTTGGCTTAGATCAGCTTTTACAACCATGTAGCCCAAGCTGTGTTGGCTTACTTTTAGGTCTGGCAAAATATCCATAGTGCTTGGGCATCTTGCTTGGTTTACCCTTCAGTACCTGAAAACCCCTATGGGTTCAGTGTGGCCAGTGGATATGCCCTCTGAACCTGTTCTCCTCTCGTGCGAACTTGAGGGTTGTTTGTTGTTTATGCCACAGGGCAACAGTAATTTGTCCTGCCTCCACCATGCTGTTTTTTTAGGTTAAAATCACCTATGGCTGTGAGTTGTGGGGTGTGCACTCTCCATGTGGCACGTCTATCTAACCCTCCAAATCAAGTTAGGGTATATCAGGCAGCTACTGCGGATTCATTTTGCCCACCTGCAGCGGTCTAGTTGTGTGCCCAGTTGTATGCCCCGTAGCTGAACTTCCTTGTGTTTAGGCACCCAAAATTGAAGTGTTGGTGAACTCCTACCTTGGCTCCATCTGCACCACTTCTTCCTTTCCCTTCAGGTGTGGTTTCCCCCTCTATATGATCTTTCACCTCAGCTTTTGACCCCCCAAAACATTGGAGTGTTTCAGGGTCAGGTTTGGATTTAGCATGTGATGTGGCTTGGTCATATCCAGGGGTGGCTCCTTTCGATTCAGGTGTTGAGCCGGCTGGCCCCACCAAGATATCTGGGCCTTCTTTCCAGCCACCCCTTCATAAATTCTTCTCCTTTAGACCCCTGTTTTTCAGCATTTTTTCAGCATTCAGCATAGACTAGCATTTCCATCCTGGATAGTGGGTGTGGACACTGGCTATGCCCTGGAGTCTTCATGACTGGTTTCTGGGGTATGGGGGAGTTGGATCAGGAACCTTAGGTTTTCTTGAACCCCAGGTGGATCTTTATTTCTTCAGACGAGGGCCTTTTACTTCAGTGAGAGGGATTTCCACAACCTTCCCTCTTTGCAACCCCTCCTCCAAACAAAGACCCAAAAGTGATTCCATACACCTGCCAAACCCCCTGTTTATGAATGAAAAACGGTTTACACACGACTCACGACTGTTAACGTTCGAACATTTCCAGAACAAGGGCTTCACTGACGAATTTTGTTCGAACCACAACACTGTAAATGCTCTACCCATGTACTACAAATACAGATAATCGCCAACAGAACCTAAACACCTAACCTAACTTAACCTATGCCTATATATGCACAATATGTTAATATATGCCCGAAACGCTACGCGTACTAGTGGCTGTACAAGAATGTAACAACTCTTGTATATATCTCAAAAAAAAAAAAAAAAAAAAAAAAAAAATATTATAATATTAATTTATATCTGAGAAAATTCCTGTTTTGAATGAACAGCATGTTAAAATTTATGAATGCGTCTGTGGGGTTGACCGCTGGATGTAATGGACTTGAGTCGAGGACGGGTTGTTCCTTGTATGAGTTTGATTTGAATGCAGCTCCCTCTAGTGTTTGTGTCTGTGTGCCACTAGGCCCATTGGAACCAACCTTCTAGAGGTTTCCTTCATCTTATACCTCTGTAAGTAGCTTGTGAGAATCTCTTTAGTACCCCCTGCACCATCCAGAGTTTGCCTGTTTGATGAACACTACCAATTTTGAGGTTTGGATTGTCTTTTCCCTTTTAGGTGCATTATGAGGTCCTGGAGTTGTCCTGGTTAGCAGACAGCTTTCTCTTTTTGGTCGTTCCAGACTTGGCACTGACTTTTGTCATTACCGCATGCTCTTGAGTAGTGTGAAGTGGCGAATGTGTTTCTAGGCAGCCCTTCTTTTGTGCTACTCAATGATTGCCCATTTGCTCCTGCTCATTCTCGGGATGTGGACTTGGTACAGCTCCTTGCGCAAGTGCCTTTGCTGTCAGCGGCCTTCATGGCGGAGGACTTTCGGGTGCACTTACACTTTGCCTCAGTCATGCAGTTTCTGGCCCCCTCATGGAGCTCCACTTAGAGTGGCTCTGTCAGGATGTTGGGGAGCACACCAAGCCTGGACGTCTGCCAGGCTTGGCTCTAGACCTGGTGCAGGGGCCTGGGTTTCCACTGTGGCATTGATGGCTTCTTTGCCCAAGCTGTATGCACCCATGTTCCGAACTGTATTAGCCCAGTCTATAGACTTGTAACAGAGAAAAGAAAGAATATCATAGGTAACGAAGAAGAAAATAAACAAAATAGAAAAACGGAGCTGGAGAGGAAAAGAGAAACTGCCACCATTGTAATGAATAGGAGTGGAATAATAGATAAACAATAGAGGGAAGGAGATGGAGAGGGAAGGGTAAGGAGGAATGGGTGAGAGTGAAGAAGAGAGTTTAGGGAAATTGAAAGTGTAAAAAAGAAAGGGGATGAAGTGTAGACGAAGTAAAAAAGGAAGAAGGGGTAGAATGAGTAGAAAAAGTTGAGTGAATGAGATTAGTTATAGGTGGTTCTACCAGCATCCATTTAATATATATAAACTAGACAAGAAATGAAACTCTTCTCCTGTCAACAGTTTTCTCCAATTGATTATACTGTAAGTTGTAATAACTGCAACCATTAAAATCAGAATGCTAATTACTATATCTGAATCTTTAGTAATTAATCTTCAGAGTTTCCTTCACTCAGCATGAGTTACGCTATGATCTTGGATTCATTTCTTATCAGATTTAAAGACAATTAAAAATAACTTGGAGATTATTGATTTATTATTGTGTGTGTTCATAATTTCTGCGGGGAGCCCCATTGGCTCCCCAGAGCTAACTGGGCTGATATGAATGTATTAGACCATGGCATCAGTCAATGCACATGGAGTTCTAGGCCTACCAGGGACCACGCGCCAAAACCTGGCCTCCCCTCAGAGAGGCACGAGGAGAATCCTTGGTTTGATCTCTGGGGCAGGACTGAAATGATTGGGCGTTTCCTTTCACCTCATGCCGTCATTCACCTAGTAGGAAATAGGTATCCAGAAGTGGTGACTGTTGTGGGTTGCATCCTGGGGAAGATTAGTAGTTGACCTATGAGGACCTCTGCAAGCCTAGGTACAGTCTTCCTGTTCCCAACATTGAGAATTATAATTTTACATGTGTATTCAAAGGGAATATATCAGACAGTATAAAACCGTGCAGCCCATCTTGACTTTAGATCATGTGTATATCTTGAGTGTGTGTGTGTGTGTGTTGTCTATGTGCCTGGGTGTCATACATTTATGAACTTGAATATAATGTACATTTGTTTTAACATTGATTTTAAGATATGTACATATTTGTAAATATCTTATGATCACACTCTTTATTTTAATTAATTGTTAATTTGTGTTAAGAATATGCTCCTTATTATTGAAAATATTGAATCTTGATTTAAAGTTAATTGTAAATGATTCATCTTAAAATTTTCCTCTGTAATTTTATTGTTCAGTTCAGTAATCATTCCTGGAAAATTATTTGTATTTTTCAGAAAAAATGTCTTGAGATCAAGTTACTCATTGTTATTCACTATTCATTATCATTTGTTTCTCTAATATTTTAGGACTGTGATGATGCCAATGAGGCAGACACAAGTGTTGACTACTGCTTGGTCCTCCGTGGGTGGATGGAGATCAACCCAGCTCATGAGTTCCGCTGCTTTGTCAGCAATAAGCAACTAGTTGGTCAGTCTACAAGAATGGGTTGAACAGTATAAACAAAAACTTTTTTCATTTGATCAATTCAAAAAGTACTCATATATTTACTTCACTTTACTAATATAGTACATTTATATACAGTATATGTAAAGTATATATTTCTGGGGGGGGCCCCTTTGGCTCCCCGGAGCTTACTAGGCTGATATGCTAATGTCAGACTTTGGCATCAGTCATGTGTATGGGCCTACAGGGACTACGAGCCAGAACCTGGCCCCCTCTGAAGAGGCAACAGGAGCGATGGCCTATAAAAACCCACGTGTGGTTGGAAGCATTCTATATCTGCCATTGACCGGGTCAGGCACTCAGAAAGTTAAGCATCCCAAAACAAACTCCTATTCTGGTGAAAATATTGCTACCAAAAGCCGAACAAATGGATAGAACTCCCCTAAACGAAACGAGCAAACGATCATGACGTCACATCGCCACGCTGCTGCCGCAGCGAAACTTAGGGGTCTGACCAGTGGGTCCCTTCTGTTTGGTTTACTCGGCTGCGCTGGCTTCTTCTTTAGGGGCCGGTGCTTTGGGGGACTCTGCAACCAGTTCCCAAGGAGGGGGATCCTGGGGCTAGGGAGGGGCTGACTTGGGGGCCTTGGGCCCCGCTGGACCCTGCCTGGGTTTTTTTACCCTTGGAGCGGGGCTTATTGTTACAAGGAGTGGGGTTCTCTTTTTCCACACTCTGCGTACGACTTGGATTTGGTGTCTGCCCCTCCCTGGGTTCGGTTCCGTGTCCCCTCAGGTGTGGCGGTTTTGTCTTTCCGGAGGTTTTCAGCTTCCCGCATCTAACCGTCTGTGGTGCAGGTGACCCTAGCAGCTTATCTCCTGCATGACCAGGATTAAGCCTTGGTGTTGATGGATCAGTCGTCTTTCAGGTTTGGGACTTCATTCTCTTTCTGGGTCCGTTACGAGGTTCCGGAGTCGTCCTGGCTGGCGGACTGTCCTGTCTTTGTCTTGGAGGCCTGGCATCCTTTCTGTCATACCCGCACACTTGAGTAGCGTGAGGTTTCGACTGAGGTTCAGGTTTTCCTAGGGGGGCGACCTTGAGCCCCTCAATGAGTGCTTGTTTGCTTCTGCCATTTCCCAGGATGTTGGAGTTCTGCAGCTTTATGTGAAGGTTCCCTCCCTTTCGGCTGCGCAGGTGGCTGAGGATTTGCACGCCAGGGGCTTCTTGGCTTCAGCCTTGCTCTTCTTTTTCCTCCTGGAGCTGTCTTCGGACTGGCTTGGGGACTATGTGGGGGTGCTCGGGGCTGTTCCGGGGTCCAGTGCCTTGGGCTCGGGTGCTCGCGTGTCGGCTGCTTTGTTCAAGCTGTTTGCGCTGATCTTGTGGGATGCAGTTGCCCAGTTTTACGCTTTCTGGCTTGTGTGTTGACAGGCGTTGCTTGCCTCCTCACTGGAATCGGTCTGGGCCCTGGCTCTTAGGATGTCTTCACCCTTTTGTCCTCTATTTTTTGCTCCTGTGGCCATAGCACAGTATATTCAAGCTGCTTCGGCCAGTTGCCGTCCGATGTCGGACTTGTTGGTTCTCCGGGGGTCCCTAGGCAGGCCTACCCGGAGGGGTCATGCCAGGGCTTGGGGTTCCTCTCGTTGTGGTAGGCCACTGGGGCCAAGTTCAAGCTTGGCTCCGCTTTCGGACCCGCCTTTGGCTGGTTGGCACGGTGTTCGCCCTGTGCCGGGCTCTGGGTCTCGTAAGGGGCGCCGGCCCTTTCGCGGTTCGCCCTATTGACGGGGCGGTGGGGGGAAGGCTTGCGCTGTTCGCTCATGCCTGGTCCCATGATTTGTGGGCGTTTTGGGTCCTTTCCTTCGGCCTGCGGTGGCGTTGGATGGCCCCTCCTCCTTCGTGGAGGTTGAGGCTGGCGGGGCAGGCTTCTCCTCCTGCACTCCATCGAGTCGTCTTGGATTGGGTTCACTTGGGCGTCGTTGAAATGTCGTCGTCCCTCAGATTGGTTTCCCGTCTGTTTCCAGTGCTAATACGGGACTGTGCAGACCTGAGGTTCATTCTGGACTTGTCCCGTCTGAACCCCTGGGTTCATTGCCCCTCCTTTCGGATGACTACGCTGTCTCAGGTTCGGCGGGTTCTTGGATGGTGTCCCTGGACCTCCGGGACACTTATTGGCATGTCCCGATTCATCCGGGATTTAGGGACTGGCTCGGTTTTGTTGTGGGGCGTCAAGGTTATCACTTTCGTTGTCTTCTGTTCAGGTTGAATCTGGCACCTCGCATGTTCACACATCTTATGCGGGTCGTCGTGGCCCATCTGCGTCTTTTAGATGTTCGTGTGTTGGCCTACCATGACGACTGGCTGGTTTGGGCTCCCAGCCGGTCCAGTTGTCTGCTAGCCAGGGATTTGGTTTTTCCCAGCTCACCGGGTTCGGGTTCTTGGCGAACTGGAGGAAGTCCCATCTGGTGCCTTCCCAGGTTCGGTCGTGGCTCGGTCTTGTGTGGGACACTCAGACCGCTTCCTTGTCTCTTCCTCCGGAGTTTCTCCTCCGGCTGCGGTCACGCTTGCGCATGTTTCTGAGGGGCTCGTCGAGTCCACAGCACTGTACGGGAGTTCGCGGCGGTGTGCTTTGCGCTTCAGAGGGTTCGGGTCGCCCACGGATCGACGATCTGGCTCCATTCGGACTGCTCCCCAGTGGTCCATTGCCTGAACCAGGGGGGGTTTCGATGCGGTCCTTGGCTCTTTGGGGCTGGTCGCTTCGGGTGGCTTGTCTGCTGAGTTCTCGGGGTTTGGCTCTCCTGGCCATTCACGTGCGGGGTGTGTCCAACGTCTTGACCGACGGCCTGTCTCGTTTCATTCCCCTCTCCATAGAATGCACGGTCGACGCTGCCTCTTTCCGTTGGCTTTGCCGGACGTTCAGTTGCCCCGAGGTGGACCTCTTCGCTTCGGCGTGGTCACGGCGCCTTCCCCTGTATGTGGCGCCCTTTCCTGACTCCGAGGCCGTTGGGGTCGATGCCTTTTGGCAGGACTGGTTGAGGTGGGGGTTCCTGTACTTCTTTTCTCCCAGTTCAGCTGTTGCTCCAGGTCCTGACTCGCTTAGAGATTAACCAGGGGAGAGTTGTCCTCTTGGCCCCTAGGTGACCGGCCCAGCCGTGGTTTCAGGCGCTGCTTGGTTGGTGTCCGAACCCGGAGGTTTTTCCGCGGCTCCACCTCTTCCAACAGATTGGCCCAGTGCGTCACGTGGCTGGTTCGATCTTCTCCTCGAGTCTTCGCGTATGGTATTTTTGACTTGAGTTTATCATCATCTCTATGGTGATCAGGTGGCTTCCTTTTTAGTGTCCCACCTGCGGGCTTCATCTCGGCGGCAGTATGAAGTTTCCTGGAGGTTCTTCCGGTTCTTCTTACGTCTTCATCGTTATGCTTCCCTTTCGGTTAGGGTTGTGTTGTCCTTTCTTTCTTGGTTGTTCCAGGACCGTCATCTTATGCCTAACACTGTCGCCTCATATCGTGCGGTGCTAGCTGAGCTGCTTCAGCTTGCATTCGGTATTGATGTCACGTCTGCGCCGTTTCGCAAGCTGTCTCGGGTGTTGTTTCACCTCCGTCCTGCTCATACGCCGCCTGAGCCGTCCTGGTCTTTGGACAGAGTGCTCTCTTTTCTTTCTTCTCCTCAGTTTGTTGTGGCCCCCCTTGGTTCTGGATTGTTTTTCGAAGGCTCTTTTCCTGTTGGCATTGGCCTCTGGGGGTCGGGTGGGTGAACTTCATGCTCTCCTCCGGCGCAGAGGTTTCTGCTCCTTCGGTCGGGGTGATTGTTTTGTTCGTCTGCAGCCTTCTTCTTTTCTGGCGAAGAATGAGACTGCTGCATTCCGGAGGGGCCTTGGGTTGTTGATGCTTGGTTAGTTCGGCCGGGGGTGCATCATGTTTTGTGTCCAGTTGTGGCTCTCTGCCGTTATTTGCACGCCACGGCTTCTGTGTCCGTGGATGCGCTGTGGGTCGATCCGGTTTCCCTTCTTCCCTGTTCGAGGGTGTGGGTCTCCCAGGTTGTCCGCAGGGTTATTAAGGCTAGCCAGTCTGCGGTCTATCCCCGTGCCCATGACGTCCGCAAGTTCGCGGCTCTTGCCGCCATCTTTGGCAATATGTCCTGGGCTGACATTTGGGCGCTGGGATTTTGGCGGTTGAACAGGGTCCTGGCTGCTTGTTACCTTGTAAACGTTCCTGGGCCTGGTCGGGCCTGTGTCGCTTTGGGTCGGCGGATGCAGCCAGTTGTCTCGACTTCAGGTTGAGGAGTGAGCAGCAGCCGCCTCCTAGGTAAGTCTCTATTCTTTCCTCTGTGGGTAGTTAGCTCCGGGAAGCCATAGGGGCTCCCCCCCGAAAACCAGCGTTGAATGTAGTGAAACGCCATTTTCTGGGTGAGTCCCGGAGGCTCCCCGGCATCCCTCTCTCCCTCCGGTCGGTGTTTTTTTTTGCGTGTTTTTGACATCCAGCCTCAGAACTGGGGTGTGGATTGCCGGCGCTGTAGGTCTGGGGCTGCCCCCCCTTCCCAAGAGGGGGGGACTGCGCAGACAGTGGCGCGACGACGAATGGCGTCATACTAGTTTGCTCGTTTTTGTTTGGGGAGTTCTATCCACTCGTTTGGCTTTTGGTTGCAATTTTGACCAGAATAGGGGTTTGTTTTGGGACGCCTACCTTTCTGGGTGCCTACCCCGGTTGATGGCAGACATAGAATGCTTCCAACCACACGGGGGTTTCTATAGGCCATTGCTTCCCTTGCCTCTCTGAGGGGGCCAGGTTCTGGCTCGTGGTCCCCGGTAGGCCCATAAGAACTCTGTACACATGACTGATGCCAAAATCTGACATTAGCATATCAGCCTGGTAAGCTCCAGGGAGCCTCCCGGACTCACCCACAAAAGGGCGTTTCATTACATTCAACGCTGGTTTTTTTCGTTGGGGGTATGGCATACGTTCTGTTGTTACCGCTCGCTTGAGTGGCCGGAGTTCACTACAGTGTTGCAAGTGTACTTAGGAAGTGTGTTTA